TCATAGTTCGATAATATTTTTATAAACCACAAAATAATTCATACAATGTCGAACTACTACTAGATGAACAATGAATGAATTGATAATAATGAATTCGGTGAAATATCATAAAATAAACTTCTCACAAAATTCGATAATATTTTTGTTTACGTCAATACATGTAACGTCGAACTACAAAATTTGTATTTAATAAAATTTATGCGAGAGAAAAAAAGAAGTTAAAAAGTTGCGCGTTAATTTTATGGAGTGGAAATAATAATAAAGAAAAAAGTTCACTTCGCAAGGCAAACAAAGTCAGATTTCAAGAGACTACAAAATAAGGAACCATCGGCTTACCGAGTCCAGTTTCGCAAGGTGATCCGAGAATCTCGAAAGTGTGCGCGCTATACTAGTTCCCATGGTGATAATACTTTGTGTATGAAGAGTTTGCGTGTATATCTTTTGAAGTTTTTCGAGATTTTCTCCTATTTTTTTTTACAAAATTCAAAAGGAAATTTACAAAAAAAAAAGAAAATTAAATGAAGTGATTTTAAGTAACAAACGACAGTGCTGCTATTTTCTCAGTCTGGAATCTGTGTTATTGACTGATAACGTTATCAGTATCACCATATCAATCTAGATATGATACAGATTATAGTTTAGTTTTTCTCTGGGAGTTTTCTCTCTGATTAATTGGTTGAAGTCATCTAGTAAATAGATGAGATGAAAGTATCGTTTGAGGAAGACATGCCGATACTGTTTTGTTATCAATGATTTTTTAAGTAACGCCTTACGTGAGTATTTTGAATACTTAGTTTGAACACTTGTCGTGTTTGTTGAATTTTTATGTGGAATTGGCAATAAGAACCGTTAATTTTAATAGGCTTCAGTTGTAATGAGCAATTTTACTGCATTTTTAACGATTGTACATTTTAATTAATGCGCGTGTATGATTCCTCTTTCTATAATAAATCAATAATAAGAAATTTTATTTTTCATGCTTTTTACATCTTACAATTAATGTATTAATAAGTAATTATTATAACATTAAATGAAAACTAATGTTGAATTTACTAAAATCAAAATGTATTTATTATCAAAAAAAGATAAATTGCATCCAATAACAAGAAACAAAATAATGTAAATTGAAAGAAGACAACTATAAATATAAATAAGATTATAGTCAAACAATTAATTTTCAATTATTACGAAGTGTTTTTATCATAGATGTTACAGTCCAATCAAAAAAATACTATGCAAAAACTAATTTATGTTATTAATTTGTAAGAAATATAATAACAATTTTGATGACATTCAAAAGCACGTATTTAATTTGCATAAAAACATATTGATCTTACAGATTGTTTTATACGATATTTTTTACTTAAAGTAGAACTATTTTTAATTTGCAATATTTTTAATATTATTCGAATTTAATATATTCGAATGGACTCGTATTTCGAAATTAGATTTTTTTTTGTAAAAAAAAAACAACACAAAATTTTAACACAAATTCCAAATTTGTGTTATGCGTGTGAAAAACAAGAATATTAAAAAAAAGTAATTAAGAAACGAATTTGAATATTATTTATTTAAAAACTATATATTTTATTTATAAAAAAAATATTTTTATGAATAGTTCTAATGAAATTTATTATTAATATGTATATTAAACATAGCTAAAAGAACTATTGTAACAATGAATTATTTTTTTATTTGACTATAATTTTATAAACTTTGACAATTAATGGTTTAAATAATATTTTACTAAAAACAATCTGACTTTAAATATGACGAAACTATGGAATAAATTAAAATTTAACAGGGTCAAGAAATACCTTCATATTATTTTTGAATTAACAATTTTTAAAATGAATCTAATTTTAATGTTTTTACTTTACTCAGATAATGACATTTTCAGTTGCTAAGGAATATATGTGTTGACACTTTTTCAAATACGTCAATCAATAATTACTAAGAAGTAGTGTTATGTAACCAAAGTAATTAGTCTTTAATTGATTCTGAAAATGTAAAGTCAATAATTATTAATGACCATTGCTTGTCAATTAAAGTTATCAAAGTAACATTCTGCAATTCTTTTAAATTTATATTAATTTACTATAAAAATATTATTACCTATATATACAACAATACTTCGCGTAGTGCGGTTGCAATCAGTCAGAATTCCGGTTCGAAAAAAAAACTAAATTTAAATTGAACAAATTATAAATAAAATTATCTTTGTACTGTTTTAATATATTTCTTAACTTTCTTCTCTTCAAAAAATATTTTATTTAGTAGGAAACACATTATAAATAACTTCAAGGATTCTAAAGCTTGATCTATCAGAATACATCCGGATGTTATTGAAAATATTAGGCGTCTTATATTTATATTAAATTCACAAATTGGAAAATAAATTTACCAATCTGCTGCAAATGTTCTTGGACCAAGGTTGCTTAACCAGTGGTTCCACCATGGGACCACATAAATTATTGGCAATCTTTTTATTTCTCAGTGATTCCGCAGTGGAACCATATGTTTTTTTTTTCAAATACTAAACCAAAAATAGAAAAAAGTGATTCATTGATGACAGTTTTGACAAAATTATGTTGTGCCAAAAAGGGTTAATACTTCATTAATTCTTAATTACAATTTACGCAAATAATACTAAAAGGGAAATTTTCTAACTACATAAAGAATATATAAATAATAATATATATTCCTCAAATTATTCAGCAAAATCAATGCATTTTATTCCACGATATTGAAATCGATCCGTGGAATGTAAACATTCAAATATTCAAATGTCGTTGACCTAATTTGACTTCATATATGCACATTTTTTAATTCTAAATTTACGGAATTCACTAATATGGCAGTTATTAGATTTCTAATACTTTGCTGTCCATTGATATGATATTCTATTACGTCAACGGCTACTGGATTTTAAACCAAAAAAAAATGTAGTAGCGCGTTAACTGACAGCAAAGTGTTAATGAATTATAAAATAGAGTCAATCTGCGGTTCTCAATCTATGGGTCGCGAAATGACATCTATCATCTTGTGTCAAAGCCATGAACTTGGGCCACTTTATAACTACAAATAAATTGGGTCAAAATGGTTGAGAAACGCTGAGGTCGATAATTATTTGGTCGAAAAGACCAACACATTTTATAATTATTATTATTAGAATATATTAATATAGATTTTGCTACTTGTTTTAATTTACTTTGAAGATTAAATTAACAATAGTTGAATCTTTCTTGGGATTCTGAAGGACCGAATATTTTAAATATGGCCAGATTTTTTTTTCAAAATCAAGAATTTCCTCCATCGCTAAATATTCAAAAGATTTGCTTAACCAGTTTTTGTTTAAAGATGCAGAATTGGGAATTGGAACTTACGATTTAATAGAAATGAGTGATGAAACTTCTCCGTCTACTAGTGAATATTTCTTAAGGCTCTCGTTAGAAAATGCAATAATTGCATTGAAAAAACTTATGGAAAATGTATAAATATCAATTCAAAAGAATCTGAAACTATATGAAACAATAGGAATGAAGACACATTGACTATAAAGACGAGATCGACATTTTCTGTATTTTGAAAATGTTCTATTATGTGTGAATCGTATGTATTTTGTACTTTGGGAAACACAGGTTTCCATTTTATTCGCATGCAAATGTTGTTCTTTGGATTGACGTTTATTGGCGCTTAACATATCCAGTCTTAAACAGGAATATACATAAGAATTTACATACATTTGCTATTTATTTGGAATTTTATTATTAGCCAAAAAAAAACATTAATATTGGGCGGAAAGGCTGCGATCAACATCCCTTTTTATATATGCATTGAAATACATTATTCTTATTATTATTTAATTAGAAAATAGTATATTTTCTAAAAGACTATTTTTATCTAAATTAATCACAAATTTAGGTCAATTTGAGTTATGCATTTTCCGAGTAATTGTATTTTTCCCCCTACACAATATGAAAATGGGGTCAGTCTGGGTGTTCTATTTTCGGAGACATAAACGTACTAAATTATGTATATTTCAATTTGTCCGGAAGTAGTTTCAGATTATATATATAACGTTTCACTACTGTCTGACCCTGATCCCACCAATAGCAACTGGTTATTAATCTCAATATCGTATCGAAGTTCGAGCTCTTAAAAGATCGTAATTAACCTTAACTTTATAATTACAATCACATCAATTTCCACTACACTAATGTTCTAATTTTAGAATATGTATCATTGGACGAACAAAGGCAAATACATTATATAAGTGGAGAATCTTCAACAATCGATGGATAATGCAGCGTATGCGTTATTGTCATTGTTAGTGCTGAAATTGCTGAAAGTCAGGGGATTACGAGATCTGATATAGCCGGATGAAGTGTCCTAATGGAAGCAGCAAATTGCGCGCAATTTATCAAAATATTACTACCGGATTATACCGAAACTCATTTGGCAAATCATCAGACACGAAATGCATTTGCATCTATTTTTACAAGTCAACGGTCACGAAATTGTGCAAAATTAATTTAAATACCAGTCGTACTTGAAGCTGGAATCTTCAATGTCGTAAACGTTTTGATTAAATGAACCACTTTTTTAAATAAAAAATATTTATTTACTATTGAGGAGAAAATAAATAATAATGCGGATATGCAAATTCATTTTTTCTTTAACCTTTTAGTTCAATATTTTAAATAAATTAGTAAACAAATTAATTGATTTTTTTTCTAGTTATGATTACATAATCCTTAATGGTTAATGCCAATCCACATACAAATTTTACAATGATAATTAATAATATTTATTAATATCCAACTTGATTTCTTTAAGTACAGCGTTGACCATTGGATAATAAAGAAGACAGAAACAGCACAAACAGAGCAATTACAATGTTTCATTGTGAGTTTCGCTCTCTTTTTAATTGAGTACTAATAGAATACGACGAAAAGAATTAGAAGTGATAGTCTTGTTTGTATTGTCACGTATTGAAGATGGTCGGGTGTGCGGAAAGCATAGTGCGAAAGATCAAAGATAAATTGGTGAAGAGGAAGATGAAGCATTCGTTTTCCACCTCGGATATACTTACGAAAATTGAAAACCGGAGGCCCACGTTCGAATCTCAAATTTCCGCGCCTCCGCTCAACAATACCTACGAGAAGTCCTTTAGAAATCTCAGCGTTGTCAGCGAGAAGGATGAGGATAATCTCAACAATAATCATCACGATAGGTTAATAACACTTGAGTTCAGAGCATCAGATGTGGACACGTTGAATCACTTTTATTTATTCAATTCGATTGATTGTTTATTCGCATTAAAAGTTATGCAATATTTAAATTACCTTATACTTGAGAATATTTCAATATTAATATTGGGTAACATTTAAGAATTCGATAAGATTATATAAGTATTTATTAGCATCATCATCGAAACACAGTTTTATTATCAATGCCAAATGTTTATTTTAATCATTACAAAATAATTGTTTCAAAAAGATGTTAATTATAATTTAATACAAAATTTAATTAAAGTTAAATAATTGATTCAAAATAAATAATAAATCAAAAAACATATATGTTTTACAATTAGGATCAAGATGAAGTATTGAAATGGACTAAAATTATAATGAGTTTATGAATAATATTAATAACCATATTTGGTATAATAAAAATTATAAATTTATTAAAAAAGTGCAATACCTTGCATAGTACGGCTTTGATCAATCCGGATTCACTATAGTCCGGTTTGAAAATTTTAAGGCAAATTAATTTTTAATTGGAAAAACCAATCCGGACTGTGCGAGGTATTGTATGTTAAATATGTTAATTACTATTTACAAGACTAATGTACAAGTTTTTTCTATTTACTAATATTTTCATATTTAGGCTACGACAAATATAACAATATTTCACGAATTTTCACTAAAGAACTCTCATGAATTTTACTTTTGTTTTAAAAAAAATCTTATTTATATAATTCTTAAAACTTTGATGACATGAACATTTTATTTCTTTGAATGAAATTAAAAATAAATAGATGAAAACACATCAATATCTAATTGAATTTGTTTACTAATATATCATTTAATTATTAACTGCTTGAATCCGGACTAATCGAGGAACAAAATATATACAGAAATAAAACCGCACAAAGAGAGTCATCCATAAAATGCATATGTATAAAAAAATGTACGAATTATAGTCAATCTGGACTGATTGAATCCGCACTATGTAAGGTTTTACCTCAAGTTATAGGTAATTAAATTTTAATTATGTATATGTATACTCCATGTTTAAATATTTTTTTCATTATTAATAATTCTTAATAACAAATATTATTAATAAAAAGTGTTTATATTTACTCACATAATAATACTTAAAGTTAGAAATTAAACATATTTTTAACGTTTCGATAAAAAAATATTATCTTCTTCAAAACAACATTTTCTAGAGACTTTTTTAATCCAGTTTATTGTAATATTTTAAAATCCTTGTAAGCCAATAGAATTATATTTACAGTTGGACGTTTAATGTATTTGCACTAACGAATGCTTTCTTTTACACCCGCTTTTCAAACAACCTTTTGTTCAGTTATTTTTTAATCGAGTTTAGTAGTTACATAGCAAACTCCTATAAAATCAGCATAAAACTTCTGAAAGTCCAATTAAAAATGAACGCATGAGAAGATAACATTTAATAAAAAAAAATGTTAATCAGTGATAAAGTACAAGTTTCTCATTGGAAATTAAGTTTTCATTAATTACTTGTAAATAACTCATTTATATAAAATTATGTGTACATTTACAATATTTGTTACACTTGCAAATTCTGGCTAGTATTAATGATTGTATATGAAAAATTATTTAAATAATTCAGTTATTGAATTCATAGTTAAGTATTATTGAAGTTGTAAAAATACGTTTTAAATAAATGCATATGAGATAGTTATGATTTAATAAATTAATTGTAATTACACCTGTTTATCAGACGACTGCTGTTGACATTTTGCAACATGCAAAAGTATTTATTGAACATATTTCAAAACTCTTACATATTATGCAATCACAATATTAACCGTATAATGGGTAAATTATGTTTGTTATTAACAAATTACCAGTTGCAATAAAATATTACTTTGTTTTAAAGCGCATTGTTTGTACTGACATTAATGATGATAGAAAACTTCCTAAATTGTTTGCTATTAAACGAATGCATTTCATTGTCCTTGAATGTCAGGACGATTTAAATATAATACAGCAATACCTCGAACAGTGCGACTTTGATCAGTTCGGATTCACTATAGTCCGGTTTGAATATTTCAAAATAAACTAAATTACCTGTATAAAATAATATTACGTATTCAGATTAAATTTCAAGTATATTTATGTATACAATAGGTATACATACGGATTAATAAGTTTGTCCCTAGATATTAGCGTTCTTGAGTTTTCTTACATTAAAAATAGGTAATTAATTATGTTTACATTCTGCTAGGTACTTCTTTTTGTAATTTTGACAAACACTTTATGTAAACATGTAATCATGCAAGTTTCAACAACATAAAATTTATATTTAAACAAATATTCATCAATATTCCAACATATAAAATTTTGTTAAAAAATTTGTTGATTCACCAGAATTTTAATCAGTAAATGTACAGATAAAAGACATGTTCATCACATAGTTATTAAAAAACTTTCAAACAAACTACTTGAATTGAGCAAATAACAATAAATTTAAAAAAAAGTACACATTTTTTTTCTTTATACAAAGCCAATGCTCATTATGTGCTGTTTATTTTTATACGGTTTTGATTAGTCCTGTTTCTATCAGTCCGGGATATTAGCGAATATGTCAAATATTGATGTACATTTAAGCGAATCAACAATTATGTTATTAAGTATACAACAATTTAGCGATTTTTTGTGTAGTAGTCCAATTAAATGTAATTATTTATTATGTAAGGTGATTCAATGGTTCATATCTGTGCGTGATTATACTAATTATTATTCTACGGTTGTGTAACTTCTGGTTATTGTTGTTGAAGATGCGTTCAGGAATCTTCGTTTTATAACAGGAACTCAATATCGTGCGATAACCTCACGTTACTAAACAGAGCGGATAACAAGGATAAAAGCAGATCCGAACTAAACTTAGCGAAATGCACAAAAATCAGAGACGTAAGGACAAGTAGCTTTTGTTTTCTTTTACCATATTCTGCCTTTGTGGATTATTTTTTTTGGATACGATTAAACCATTTTCGTTTTTTTTTTTGTATTTCAGTACTTCCAACGAAATCGCGTCACGGATGTGAATAAACGACTGAAATCGCAAATATGGAGTTCCGTTGTGACGATAGTTCTTGTGGAGGGTAAAAATTTATTGGCTTGTGACCCGGAAACTGGATCCTCTGATCCTTACGCTAAATTTAGGTAAGTGTATTATTTATAATTTATTCCGCTTCGTTCTATGGTCGAAACTTTAATTCTACGCAGATTGGGCAATGAAAAGTACAAGAGTCGCATCGTCTGGAGATCGTTGAATCCGAAATGGTTGGAGCAGTTCGATTTGCATCTGTACGATGATGGTGATCAACAATTGGAGATCACCGTTTGGGACAAGGATAGGTCCAGAGACGATTTTATTGGGAGGTAAGATTGCTTTTTTTTAAGAAAAGTACTCTTCAACTACCAATATAAATTATTATCTTGGCTACACGAGGTAAACGTAACTATAAATATAAATACGGTAGAATTGGATAGAAGAATGTATAAATATGAATGAATATGCATTTCGAATTTCTATCTTCATTTATAGAAATTTTTGTGGTAAAAAAAACAAATTCATTCTCAGAAAATCAATAAATTAGTCAACGTAACACTTTTTTTTGTTATATTTAATTATATATATTAATCAATTATAGATGATATTTGCAATTCAAATATGATTATGTAATTTAATGCTAAATTATGGTTCTAAAAAAAACGACAAGTTTACTAAGCACACAAATAATCATTTAACTGAGTTGATATATGCAAACTTTTAAAAGAAGAAAAATAGACAAATTTAATATAGACAATTTTTATTATGAGAATGAATACGTTAAAATACGTTAAGCAATTAGGTTCTAAATAAAATTAAACTCACTGCACATTTCGCATACCTATTAGTTTTTGCTTTGTATTTATATTCGGGAACACATGAGAATTTTCCTAACATAAATATGCTAGATAAAAAAAATGATATACATTATTTTATAAAGTAAATACAGAAATATATTATTTTGATTTGGACGATTCAACATGAAAATACGACAAAATTCTTCAAATTTGCAATCAATTCAAGCGTTAAAAAATACATTATTAAATATATAGTAAAATTATTGTATTCTTTTTGGCTGTATAAATTTATGATAGTAGTTTTTGTAATAACGATGTGATGAATATGCATTTTGTCTGTACATTTACTAATTGAAATTCTGGTGAATCAATAAATTTATTTACCAAATATTATTAAATTTTCAACGTAAATTTATATGATAATTACCTTCTAATATGTTGGAATATTGATGAATTTGGTGGATTATTAATTTTATGTTGTTGAATCTTGCATGATCACATGTTTACATAAAGTGTTTGTCAACATTACAAAAAAAGTACTTAGAATGTAAACATAATTAATTACCTATTTTTGATGTAGGAAAACTCAAGAACGCTAATATCTAGAGACAAGCTTATTTATCCGTATGTATACCTAGTTATATGTTACACTAAAAGTACACAATCGGTAAATGTATACATATCCCGCCAAATGTGTACGTTAGGAGGATACGTTAGGTTAGGTCACCAGCAAACAATATGTTAGCTGGTTCAAAATAAAATAATTCTGTGTTTGTGTGATTAGTTTTTCTTTGGCGTGACATAACTTATATATTTTATTTGTCTATATGATGATAAATTGAACATATATTTACCGGGAAATGTATACATTTGTCGATTATAAACTTTTACCGTTTTATATAAATAAATGTACATGAACTTTAATTTAAATACGTAACATTTTGAATAATTAATGATTTATTTTTGTATGTATTCTTTAGTAATTTATTAGATGTAAATTATTTGAGTTGACGCATTAACATTATTTTATACAAGCTTAGTCTATCCAATTGCTCTAGACACTAAACAGTTTACGACGGATGTATATTTATCTAATGAATATATTTCCTTTAGAATGCATTACGTAAATTGGTTTCAGAAATTGGTATAACATAAAACATGATCGGTTTGTTATAAGGTTTTGAGTTGTCATGTGCAATTTTTTATTGGAATAAATTTAAATTTTAAATTAATTCGATACTGTTTTCTTGCTTGTAAAAAAAATACAAAAAAATAATAATTATATGTATATATTATGATTTTGTTGTATTTTTAATCGTTTTAAATTATAATCATTAAGAAATGAAGTTTTATTTTCATTAATATTAATTAATATAAAAAGTAGTATTAAGAATATATAATCAATATTATAACTATCACATTTGACCTACTGACATAATAAATAAAGGACAAATGATAACAAAGATTTTAAAAAGGATTTGTTATTTCATAATTTTAACGCGTGACTATTATTATGCTTGGATCTATTGATCTACTAAAAATAATTCTTCTATGTTGGTTATTTTTATGAACTCTATTGTTATACCTACCACACGCTTTTTGCATTCTTATCGCACGTAATTTTTATTTTATTAAATGAATATTAAAGTTGTGGTGCAGTTGCAATATACTTGTAACTTTACAATGAGTATTATTCTAATTAAAGTTCGTTCCATGGTTTCGTTTCAGGTGTGTAATAGATCTGTCCAGATTGGATCGTGAGACCACACATAATATCTGGCACGAGTTGGAGGATGGAGCTGGAACTCTGCATTTACTGTTAACTATAAGTGGGACGACTGCATCGGAAACGATATCAGATCTGTCAACACATGAAGACACTCCGCGCGAGAAAGAAAACCTCCTTCAAAGATACGTGAGTCCATTTCAAAAAATTTGTCTATGCATTTGCACTACTATATTGATTATTTGTTTACAGCATTGGACCAAGACTTTCCACAATTTGAAAGATGTAGGTCATCTCACAGTAAAGGTGTTTAGGGCACAGGGATTGGCTGCAGCTGATTTGGGTGGAAAAAGCGATCCTTTTTGCGTACTTGAATTGGGCAATGCTCGACTTCAGACGCAAACCGAATACAAGACGTTGTCGCCTTCTTGGCAAAAAATATTTACATTTAACGTGAAGGATATCAATAGTGTCTTGGAGATAACAGTCTACGATGAGGATAGGGATCACAAGGTGGAGTTTTTGGGGAAAATTGCTGTTCCGCTGCTACGGATAAGAAACGGGGAGAAGAGATGGTACGCGCTGAAGGATAAAAAATTGCGTAGCAGGGCCAAAGGGAATTCTCCTCAAATCCTACTTGAAATGAACGTCGCGTGGAATCCCATGAGAGCGTGCATACGCACTCTAAATCCAAGAGAAGAAAAGTACATGCAAACCGAAGTTAAATTCAAGAGGCAGGTTTTTGTCAAAAACGTGCTCCGTATGAAATCGATCATCATGCATTTCTACGAATTCGGGAAACTACTTCAGTCAGTTTTATGCTTACTCAAATTTGGAAAAAATATTGATTTTATACATTTTTAGGAGTTGTTTTGAGTGGGAATCCACGTTTCAAAGTTTTGTGGCGTTGCTGTTCTGGCTCGTGATCTGCTACTATTTCCAACCGTGGATGTTGCCCGTCGTCGGACTCTTGATGTTCTTCAAACAATACATAGTGAAGAAGGTGGCCGGACCACAAACAGTACCATGGGACGAACTGGCAGATTCAGACATGGAGGACGACGATGATGATGACAAGGAGAAGGTAGGAAACGAGGTAGGAATCATTTCAACATTTCTATAGACCTAAGAGTAGCACAACTGGCACTTATAATTTAAAATTCGATTTGATGCACCGTCTATAGGTTTGTTGAATTGCTTTTCCTATAACACCGAAACACGAACACACACAAAAATGACAAAAATAACAAACTCGCTTTTAAAATCTTTAATTGTTTTTCTTCTTTTTCAATTGAGAGATTCTCTTATTTTTAATAAACATTTTCAGTACTAAACGAATCATCAAGTAACATAAACCAATAACAGATAGTAAAATAGCGAACAAAAATATGAATACATCGATGAGAAGATTCTGATACCAATGTAAATTCATTGAAGCGTTTGCAAGATGTTTAGCTCCTTTGTGCTTAATAACGTGTTCCATCCAGAAAACACCTTTATCCAGAGGTTTGATTGGTTGGTTTCTTAATAAATCGGAATGGAGTTTAGCTTTCTTGCTATACCTGTAATAAAAAAGTAATCATATAATTTATAACAAATTTGGTAATGATTTAAACATACGTTTCGTTGCGAAGCATTTCCTGGATATTGGCCAATAAAGCTTCTTCGCAAATTTCTTCTGGTTTAATTCTTAAAGTGTAACCAGCTTCAACTCCGGTGGGAACATTTGAATTTTGGTCACCGAACATTGGGATTCCGATCATCGGAACTCCATGATGAATAGATTCTATGGTACTGAGCAATCCACCGTGTGTTATGAATAGTTTGATATTAGGATGAGCCAAAACATCGTTTTGAGGCAACCATTTAGCAATCTTGATGTTCTTTGGTTTATTTGGAATATCCTTTTCCAATTTCCACAAAACCTTTAAATTAACTTTAGAGAAAGCGCTCAGAATTCCGTTCAACTTCTTTTCGTCCAAAAATATGCTTTTCATATTTGAACCCAAACTAAAGTATATAAAACCGTCCTTGGCGCTATCCAAATAAGCTTTTATATCTTTCGGCAGTTGTTTAACCTCGCCAACGTGAAATCCACCAATGTCTATAGAATTAGGTACACTAGGTCTTCTGGTTTCATAACTGTAATGGCCATTGGATAAGACTAAAGCTACATTTTTTGAGAGCTCGTCGATTGATGGCGCGTCAGGGATATACCTATGCAAGATTTTCTGCTGTTTAATCCGTTGATAGTAGGATACTACTTCTGCGCTAACATGTACTATAGTATTCATAGTCCTTTCCCAGAAATTCATTTTATCTGTAATTGGGAAATACTTGAAAGGCACGTAGGAATAGGGAGCGGTATTTCCCACTATGTAGTTAACATTGAAGGCTGTACCAGCCGTGGCCATCAGTATTATAGGACACTTGAAAATTTTGCTGAAGATCAAGTGAGATTCGTTAAACATCCAATCGATTAGAATCAAATCGACCTTTTCATTTGATGTCCACATCTTTTTGAATTCAGCATTCTGGAAGAGCAGATCAGCTTGCGTTACGGTCATATTCAATAACATAAAAAAGGTGTCAATTGATGCAGAATTATGAGAAAACTTTTGAAACCATTCGTTTTTGATCCTATCTGTAAATTACAATGTTTGTATTTATATCTAAATATTCATATTTCATGAATACTCACTGTTCATATCTTGCATCGTTTCTGGAGTTACTATATCGCGATAATTTGGGAATGGTTCTTTTAATGGAAACGGACTAACCATAGTGACTTTATGTCCTCTGGAAGCCATGGCTTTTAATAGCACTTCACCTAACATGTGATGGCTTTTGCCTGGATGATGAAAAATGCCCAAAATGTTTGCGGCATTGCAGTAATTCAATAACAATAGAAGACTTGTTACTTTTAATAACATCTTGATTTACTGATAATTCCGTACGGAATAGTTTTTGTAATATATCGCTTCACCTTACATAATTCTGTGCAGGCGATTATCAGTCGATAGTAGATAAGATTGGATTTAATTTAAAATTTTACTGATTTGAAGTACTTAATAACACTAGACAGCTTTTCAATAATAAATTAATAGGATTTTTGATAATATAAAGTAATGAATGATGAGATTTAAAACTATTATATGTAGGTTTATATAAATAAGAAGTATTTATTGATAATTCAAATATTTGATTAATTTTCTGTCAGCTATGAAAGTTTATTTCATTTATTAAAAATAATCTTAAGATTATCTTAATTGCAATCACATGTGCGTATACTTGTAGCAAGGATAATTCTAATGTAAAATATTCTTTATAATGTTTCTTAATTTATATTTCTATCAAATAAGTATATTTGGTTGCATACATATAACCAATATTTTATTTAATTATCGACCAATTCAAACAACTTTGGTGTATAATTTAGGCTGTAATCACAATAAAAAAATATTTTTAATAAAACATGATATAATTATGTAACTTTTACAATAAAAAATCATCGAAAATATGGTTTTAAAATTTTCAATTATTCTTTTTCTTCGTCTCTAGAGCTGTTTTCTTATTTTTAGTAAACAATTTTAGTATTAACCTCATCGTAAAGTAACAAATATAAACTGCCGATAGTAAAATAGTGAACAAAAATAAGACTACATCGATAAGGAGATTTTGATAACAATATAAATTCATTGATGCATTTGCTAAATGCTTCGCACCTTTGTGCTTAATGACGTGTTCCATCCAGAAAACAGCTTTATCTTTAGGTTGGATTGGTTGGTTCTTTAAGAAATCTGAATGGAGTTTAGCTTTCATGCGATACCTAAAATAACAAGTAATCAATCATATTGTACAAAATTAGAAGAGTTAATCATACGTTTCGTTGTGTAGCATCTCTTGTATATTAGCTAATAAAGATTCTTCACAAATTTCTTCCGGGTTGATTCTCAAAGCGTAACCAGCTTTTACTCCTATGGGAACATTTGAAATTTGATCTCCGAACATTGGGATTCCGATCATCGGAACTCCATGATGAAGAGATTCTATGGTACTGAGCAATCCACCATGTGTTATGAATATTTTGATATTAGGATGCGCCAATATTTCGTTTTGCGGCAACCATTTTGCAATCTTCAAGTTTTTTGGTTTATTTGCAATATCTTTTTCCAATTTCCACAAAACCTTCAAATTAATTTTTGAAAACGCGTTAATGATTCCGTTCAAACTTGTTTCATCCAAAAACGCGCTCTTCATATTTGAACCCAAACTAAAGTATATGAAACCGTCCTTGGCGTTATCCAAATACGTTTTTATATCATTTGGTAATTGTTTGACATCTCCTACGTGAAATCCTCCAATTTCTATTATGTTAGGTACGGTGGGTCTTGGTGTTTCATAACTGTAATGACCATTGGAAAAAACTAGAGCTACATTTTTTGAAAGCTCTTCAAGTGCAGGCGAATTAGAGAAATGTTTATTCAATAATTCTTGTTGCTGCATTCGTTGATAATAGTTTGCAGTTTCACTAATTATGTAATATAAAGTATTCAAAGTCCTTTCCCAAAAATTCATTTTGTCAGTTAATGGAAGAAACTTCAATGGTACAAATGAATAAGGTGATGTATTTCCAACTATATAATTAACATTGAATGTTATGCCAGCTGAAGCCATTACTATTATTGGACATTTAAAAATGTTGCTAAAAATTAAATGTGATTCGTTCATCATCCAATCCATTACAATCAAATCGACTTTTTCATTTGACGTCCACATCTTTTTGAATTCAGCATTCTTGAAGATTAGATCAGCATGCGTTAAGGTCATATTCAAAAACATGTTAAACGTTTTCATCGATGCAGTATTCTGTGAAATTTGTTGAAACCAGTTGTTCTTTATTCTATCTAAAATTATATATTAACTTATGTATTCATCAATAACATTTCAATACTTGCTGTTCATATCTTGCATTATTTCGCGGGTTTCAATATCTCGATAGTTTGGAAATGGTTCTTTCAACGGGTATGGACTAACCATGGTAACTTGATGTCCTCTAGCAGCCATTGCTTTTAGTAGTACTTCTCCAAGCGTATGGTGGCTTTTACCCGGGTGATGAAAAATTCCCAAAATATTTGCGGCATTGCAGCAATTCAAAAGCAGTAAAACACTTGTCACTTTCAAAATCATTTTGCTTTACTCAGCTTTAACCAGTACAGAGCAGTTTTATAAAGATTCAATCCATTTTTTTATATGTATATATATTAATAAGTATTTGTGTTCAGGCTATTATCAACCGATAATTGATAAGAATGATTTTAAAACTTCAGAACTTATAAATTAATATTTCATATACGTTTTTATCTAAATCCATTAAAAATAGAATTACGATTTGTAATATATTAATTTCTTCATTTGATTTTATTTATTAAAAAACTGAGAATAATATTGATATAATTATATACATATTATATACTTTTAAATGAACTTGTGTGAAATTTGTTAATTTAGTTGTCAATATCTTTATATTATTAAATAATTTGAACCAAGTTGCAAGATCAAACGGCTGTAATCATAATAATAAAAACTCCGTATAAAAATTGAACAAAAAGAAACATTTATTAAAAGTATTTCAATAAATGTTTTTATTTTATCACTACTTTAATATAGGAAAAGAGAAAATAATATTTTGTAACACATATTTCTTTCGTAGTTGCATATTTGGTTGCATACATATAACAAACATTTTCTTTAGTATTAATTTATTAATGACGCAATTGAAACAACTTCGTTTTATAAATTAGAACGCAATTACAATAAAAAATCATTATTAATGAAATTTGTTATAATTATATAACTTTTTCAATAGAAAAATATCAAAATACATAAAATATGATTTTTAAATTTTTAATTATTTTTTTTCTTCATCACTTGAGGTGTTTTCATATTTTTAGTAAACAATTTTAGTATTAATCTAACCATAAAGTAACATAAACAAACTGTCGATAGTATAACAGTGAACAAAAATAAGATTAAGTCTATGAGGAGATTTTGATACCAATATAAATTCATTGAAGCATTTGCTAAATGGTCCGCACCTTTGTGCTTAATGACATGTTCCATCCAGAAAACAGCTTTATCCTTAGGTTTGATTGGTTGATTCTTCAAGAAATCTGAATGGAGTTTAGCTTTCACACGATACCTAAAATAACAAGAAATCAATCATATATATATAAACTTAGAAGAGTTAATCATACGTTTCGTTGTGTAGCATCTCTTGTATATTAGCTAATAAAGATTCTTCACAAATTTCTTCCGGGTTGATTCTCAAAGCGTAACCGGCTTTTACTCCTATGGGAACATTTGAAAGTTGATCTCCGAACATTGGAATTCCGATCATTGGAACTCCATGATGAAGAGATTCTATGGTACTGAGCAAACCACCGTGCGTTATAAATATTTTGATATTAGGATGAGCCAATAGTTCGTTTTGAGGAAACCATTTTGCAATCTTCAAGTTCTCCGGTTTATTTGGAATATCTTTCTCCAATTTCCACAAAACCTTCAAATTATTTTTTGAAAAGGCGTTGATGATTCCGTTCAACCTCGTTTCGTCCAAAAACACGCTCTTCATATTTGAACCCAAACTGAAGTATATGAAACCGTCTTTGGCGCTATCCAAATATGCTTTTAAATCTTTCGGTAATTGTTTGACTTCTCCTACGTGAAATCCTCCAATTTCTATAATGTTAGGTACAATAGGTCTTGGTGTTTCATAACTGTAATGACCATTGGAAAAGACTAGAGCTACATTTTTTGAAAGCTCTTCAAGTGCAGGAGCATTAGAGAAATGCTTATTCAATAATTCTTGGTGTTGCATTTGTTGATAGTAGGATGCAATTTTGCTGATAATATGCAATACAGTATTTAAAGTCCTTTCCCAAAAATTCATTTTATCAGTTAATGGAAGAAACTTCAATGGTACATAGGAATAAGGAGATGTGTTTCCCACTATATAATTAACATTGGATGTTGTTCCAGCTGAAGCCATTAGTATTATTGGACATTTAAAAATTTTGCTGAAAATCAAATGTGCTTCGTTCAACATCCAATCCATGACAATCAAATCGACTTTTTCATTTGATGTCCACATGTTTTTGAATTCAGCATTCTCGAAGAGAAGATCGGCTTGCGTTGTGGTCATATTCAGAAACATTTTAAAGATTTTCAGCGAGGGAGAATTTTGTGAAAATTCTTGAAACCAGTTGTTCTTTATTCTATCTAAAATTTACTATTAACATATGTATTCATGAATAATATTTCAATACTTACTGTTCATATCTTGCATTATTTCATGAGTTTCTATATCTCGATAGTTTGGGAATGGTTCTTTCAACGGGTACGGACTAACCATGGTAACTTGATGACCTCTGGCAACCATCGCTTTCAGTAGTACTTCTCCAAGCGTATGGTGGCTTTTCCCCGGGTGATGAAAAATACCCAAAATGTTTGCGGCATTGCAGAAATTCAAAAGCAGTAAAACACTTGTTACTTTCAAAAGCATCTTGCTTCACTGAGATTGAGCAGTTTTATAAAGTTTCAATCAATAATATATGTATTTATGTCCAGGGTATTATCAGCCGATAATAGATAAGATTGATTTTAATTTCATAATATACAAATTAATACTTAAATAATATTAATAAAAAAATACAATTATTTTATACACATTATATACATTTAAATGGACTTGTTTTAAATCTGTTTATTTGGAAAAAAAGTGAATTTAAGTTCTAATAATAATTCGGGTAAAGAAATCACAATAAAAAAATATGGTATTTGGATTTCTACTTGTTATCAATGAGTTTTGGTCTTAAATATTATTTTTACTGTGTATTAATACTTAATTTTATGTATATTATCAGTGACCTTGCTGATTTATAAAAAAAAATAATCATCAGGAACGATGAAGCATTAAATCGCGACTGTTTTAATAACAAACGTTGGATTTGCGTATTTATAGATTATGTGAATTAATGCAGTTCAGATAAATAAAATTCTTGTTTTCAAATTGCATGCTGAACAATGCGAGCCACACACTGACGCTAACGTAATATTTGCACTAACGAAATTAAAAAATATTTTCGCTGTGCTTAATTTTTGTAGGAAGAGAAGAAGAGCTTGAAGGAACGGCTTCAGGCGATCCAAGAAGTCACGCAAGGAGTTCAGAATGCCATAGGCAAATTGGCTACGTTCGGAGAGAGCGTTAAAAAGTAAGTCGTCTTCACAAGAAAAGTCTGTTGTAACTGTACCTTCTTTTACTTGTTTGTTTGCAGCACTTTCAATTTCACCGTTCCCTATCTGTCGTGGATAGCTATTACACTTTTAATTCTTGCCTCGATGGTTTTGTATTTCATTCCTATAAGGTATTTGCTGATGCTATGGGGCATGAATAAGTTCTTCAGAAGAATCCTGAGGCCGCACGCTGTTCCGAACAACGAGCTATTGGATCTGATTTCCAGGGTACCTGACGACGAAATGCTTGTAAGTATCGTCCACTGCAAGAGTGTCCCGCGCTTCCTACATACATTAATATACACAAGGCAAATATCGAAAGCTATATTATTAATAGTAGTGTACTGTAGTTAAGTTTCGAATACATTCTGATACGTTGTCCATAATTTTAATGTACATCTGATATTTGTTATTCATCTATCTTTAATATTTATATATTATTTAACTTTAACACTTGTTGCTTAACATCACTAACAACGAACATCCTCTCGATGGATGTGGTACTAACTAATCCGTATACAGGTTTTTGGGATTTCTGTTGTAAACGAGAGAGGAGGACAAGTGTTAATTTCGAAATTTATAAAATACAGATGTGGATAAAATTATCGGCAGCTTCTCTATCAACGCATATCGGTCGACTGACATTTTTTGAATGGTACTTGCAGCTGGACTATAGGGACTTGAAGATCTTGATAGGTCAGGAGACGGAGAGAAGGAGGGAGCCAAGGAAGAAGCAGAAAGCCTCCTAGTGGAGGTTGAGACTTTTGACCGGCGTGCGGACCAAGTTGAAAGTACGCTGGGAAAGAGAAGGCATTTAAACAATAAATAAGTCTGATTAATTATTATATAACTCTAGAGCGATGGGTATTATTGGTGCAATACTTTTGTAGGCGACTTCTAGTTTAAACCAATTTACTGAACAAACAACCATCTCTATCTATCTCCACCCATTCAATCATCTATCAAAACAAAAAATCGAATTCTCTTCTTCATCTCTTCCATCTAGTTGTATAGACAAAATTCGTACTTTAGTGTGAGAAAATTCATTGAAACGCCAATAATAGTGAGATAAAAAAAATATACATTACCCAATTTAATGAAAAAAGAAATCCAAATGTTTATGCTCCATGTGTGTCTATTGTTATAAGTAATAAAACAACAAATATATAAATAAAGGAATAAATAAATGGCGTTCGGGGTTATATATATATAATAACTTTGTTTCTCATATTTAGTATATTCTTTAGCACGTACAACTATAAATAAAAACAACAAATCTCTCACGTTCGACACATAACAATTATGACAATTTCATTGACAATTCGTGCAAAGAAACAAGCAACCATTGTGCAATTTCCATACACAAAATATTTTATATTTTTGTACCCAAGTTTACATATTAGTTAGATTTTTATAAACGTTAAAGAAATGTAACAAATCGATGAATTTAGTGTATATCTAATGCCTCTCCTGAACAAATCCACCAAACGACATATCGATATAAAAATATTAAATAGAAAGAACAGTCCCAAAGATGATTTGTTTCGGAGACGCAGTTGCCACTAGACGACTTTTACTAAATTTCCAGTTAGTTACTTTATGATTCAATAGTTCGAAACGCAGGATGATCAAAAAAATTGTAAAAAAATATTATGTTAGTTGATTTTCCACGAAACCTGTCCGAAATTTAATTAAGTGATGTAATTGTGATTCCTAATTTTAATAATTTATGTGTGTATGTATTTTAGGTGTATAATTTCGTGTGACTATCATAAAATATTTCTATTTTCCGATAAGCGAAAATAGAATTTAGTTTTATTTCTTGATGCCAAAAAAAAGTTAAATTATTAACTATGTAAGAGTAGGAATAATTTTGAAAGTTGATCATTCTGGAAGAAGGAAGCTAATGTAGACTTACGATCAGATAAACGCACCTGAGTTGTTCTTCCATTCGATTTGGAAACGTTTAGATTAGTTCATTCATTTACACGTTTTTTTATATATAAAAATAGTAGATTTTGTAAAAATTACGAAAACCCATACGAAGCTCGGTACTAATCATGGCCTAACGCCCGTTATGATAAATACTTATGTAAAAGTATGAGTTCCTTTAAGGGTTTTTATCCAGTTAAGTTTGATGATCCATCCATCCATTCCTCTTGTGTTTTGTGTATGTGTTATTAAATGTAGATTAGCTCGTGCCCTGGACATAACACCAGATATGCCTCTTGTTACGTTTTGATCTTGCCATTACTTTTATTGAGATTTTAAATGTGAATGATATAAATATATAAATGAATAAATAAATAAATATACTAAATATTTTGCGCACTATTTCCATGTGCTTACTGTGTTACTTAAAATTGAGAATTTAAAATATTCCAACGTGTTATTTGCCACTTTTAACTATAAGAATTGCACAATGCCTGTTACATATTATTGATATATAAAATATATATATATTTTTGTTCTATCTTCGCAATTGTTACGTGAACGTTTTTATCGAAGCCATCATTGAATTGTAATTTATTAAAAATATTTCAATAAATGTTTTTTTATCACTACATTCTTTTCCTTTATTTATTGTTCCCCATTTATTTAAGTAAATACATTAAAGTAGTTTTTTTTTATAAACAATTGATTATATAAAATGTTTAAAACCAACATTATTGATTTCAAGAACAAAAATATTATTTTGTCATTGAAATATCCCGTACTGTTTGAAACCGGACTAATCGAGTTACTAAAACGTACAAAAATTAATCCGACAAAAAGAGAGTTTATGTACTCATTTTTGAATTATTTCTTATTTTTTTTAAATAAGTTTATTTATGTTAATTTTGATAAGATAGGAACTATGGAAAGTTACTATTACTATTACATTTTTTTGATTTGTTATATTATCTTTTAAGCATAGAGTAAATTTTTAATTTTTTAGTCTGAAAACGAAAGTAATATAAAGTTAAAAATGTATACTCAAACTTGAAGAATTAATACTAATTAATCTTGGTCTAATTGTGTTAGCAGACCCTATGTTAGTATATTTGTTTCTATATCCACTCTAAACTGCAGATATGCAATTTACCAAGCATTCAATAGTAAAAAGATATACAGACATACCTTGGTTACAGTTATCTCTGATAACAAAGCTTCGATACAATATAGTCTGCAATTCTCGCTAAGAAATGCTTAAATATAATTTGGCGTAAAATATGAACAGCATTTGTACTAGAAGAAGAAAATAATATTAATAGTTTTGAAAATTTCAATAATGTTAGAAATGTATTGAATGAAGATACAAGATTTAAAAATTTGCAATGATAACCAAATTACAGAAGTTTTAATTTTGAAGAAGACGTAATAGTAGGTGACCAGTAGATACAATGTTTTCATCAATTTAGTAAATCTGTAATTTTATTTATGTAAGAAACCTATCACTATTTTGGACATAGTATTTTTATCTTTGAAAACGGAGTTTCGCTTATTGAAATAATTTCATGAAACGCATCTTTTTCGTTAAGTGTAGTCAATTATTAACAACCAGTATGTATCCTAAAGAGATCAATCTATTTCAAGCAAGACTCTTGAAAAGGAGAATTGGAGTGAATCGAACAAAATCAGTACATGATACTATTACCGTGAAGCGGGGATTCACGTACTCTAATTAGGCTTAACAAACAAGAAAAGATTGACAGAGAAGTGACTTATTTAGGTTACACTTACACAGCAGATTAACTTTGAAGAATTACATACAGAACAATTGTTCATAAAAAATATAATAGTTAATACAAACTCTTGCAACGAATTGTTCATAAATATATAAATTCATATTATATCATATTTACAATAATACTAGATTTCACTAGAAAAAAAGTTTATTTCTAAAATGTAGAAATAAATGTATATGGAAAATATAAACATAAACACTTGTATGTACCACCTTTTGAGCATGGGGCATTATTACAATTTTCTAGAAAATGTACAGGAAAGAAAAATTACTCTTTAATTTGGTTGGTATATTTAAGGATGAATTTTGATAGTCCATACCATTTGATGTTGATTCAGTTGACGAACATGTCTGATTCAGTTGTCCAGAAATGTGTTGGGTCTAGAAATTTAGGAATTTCTGACCCCTCTAAGATTTAAAATGCGTTCCTAGACAAGCACATATAGTAGATAGGTATATTTAGAGGTCTTAGTTCAGTGATTTTTAACAGAAAATGTTAAAGAATCGTGACAGAATCTAGATTCGAAAATTTTATAATGTTTAATAAATCAATATTTTTCAGTGAAGCCCAAGTAATAATAAGTAATTAAGTGTGCGGTGAAAGCAGGTTCAAGTGTGCCTAGGGACAAAAAAAGTTGAACAATTCTGAGTTAGTGTGTATTGATCATAAAATAGTAAAAAAAGACTTTACCCACTTAATAACAAGATCCATAATTTCATTAATTTAAATATATTATATACTTACAATATATTATACAAATAGTAAAATCAATTAACTATAAAGCATATATAATTTATATTTATAATAATTATGAATTGAATTAATTGAAAATAAATATGATACATAAAAAATATTATATAATAATAATTAAATATGTAATATTTATTATCCATTATATAACGATTATGCAAGTACTAAGTATGTGCTTTCTTTAAACGTTAAAAATATTCTTTTACGTCAGAAAGTAAGTAAACGGTAATAACAATTGACCACAAAATCAATAATCATATATGTGAAAGTCTGAAATGAACTCGTTGCATAAACGTATTTTAAAATTGTAACACGTTTCACGTTGCATTTAGAATCGCAACTTGAAACAATAAATGTAAACAAATATGCATATATATTGTTAAAAATTAAGACTATATTACATACATAATATTGTGTTGTAATTGCAGTTATAAAAGGATTAATTATGTTAAAATATTCTTGATTAATATTTATGATTCTGTTATTTGCTACTTATGTATCCAGTGTTTTTATGATAATTTCCTTTACAACTGTAAGACGTTTAACTGTTGTTGAAAATATTATCGATTTATAAGTAAAATGAAGAGTATATGAAAGATGCTCTGAAAGTTTCAGTTAAATCTATCAAAAAAATAATAATTAGAATGAAATACAATTGGTTATTTATCTAGTACTAAACGTATTAAATGTATGTTTATAATGAGTTTAACTTTTTGAGGGATCAGAAATTTATAAATTTCTAGGACCAACAAATTTCTAGACAACTTCTTCAACTGAATCAACATCGTATGGTATAGCCCAGTGATTCCTGGACATTTTCTAGAACATTATAATAATGTCCCAAAAAGGTATGTTCAAAAGGTGGAACAATGTGTCCCGCCGCCCCTGAAACAGTTGGTGATCGCTTCACGAATATTTCGGACTGCGAACAAATCGGATAACGAACAAATTTTGCATTTTTTTTATCTTTGGACAATACATATTCGGATAACGAATACATTATAGTCGATACGTTTGTGAGGTAACGCTAATGGTAATATTAAGCTTAAGCCGCTTCTAAAATCGATGATAGTTTACTGGTAGTAAACATTTGAACGGATTATGTTTGTTAATAGATCGAGAATACTCGAGGAATAAAGCAAACTAATTTAATCATAAAATATGCAAATAAAAGATATATGTCTCACCTTTTGAACGAGCCCATTGTTATCAATTCGTCATCTATGAGCTGCCAAAAATGTCAACGCTATCTTCACGTTTTATTTAATTACTGGATAACCAAGCAAGCTAATTACACAATTCAACGTGAAATTTAATTAATTTGTTTCGAATGATAAAAATCGAAATTTCTATACGTCAAAAACTGACATATTAATCAAAGTCATTAAACCTAATCTTATTTATAGCCAATTTTGTATTAATTAAATACAAGTAAATGCGCAAACTTACAAAATAATGTCTTCAGACGAAGATGATTATATGTCAAATAAATATTTAAAAGTTGGAACTTCACACAAAGGTTTACCGAAGTGTAAGCACGTTCAAAGACAGCACGAGATGTTCAAGAAGAAACTCAAATTTAAACTTACCAAAAAAGAGGTCAAAGAAGCTGCCGATAGGGAAGCAGGTTTGAATAGTGCGATTTCGCAGAAGAACAAGGGTTTCATTATGCTTGCTAAAATGGGATACAAGCCAGGAAAAAGTCTCGGTGCTCGCAATTCAGGAATTACCGAACCTATTAATATTGTCATAAAATCCAATTATTTTGGTATTGGTATTAATAATTCAGAGACAAAGAAAGAGAAAAGTTGCAACTTGAAAACAGAAGAAGAAACAAGAAAACTTGAAATGGAATTTAAGAGATCAATGCAAGTAAAATATCGTGAAAAATCGTTAGCAATTTTTTTTCGGAAAGCACAAACTGCTTGTGAACATTTCGACAGAAATGGAAATCTCAGTAAACCAATTGTTGATTTCTATTGGTCGAAGAAGGAAATGGACAAAAATTGTGGTAGTGATGAAGATGACAATTTGGAATTGATTGAAAATGTTATTAGTGAAGAAAATCTAATTCAACTGAATGAATATTTGCGTTTAGAATACTTTTACTGTATTTACTGTGCAGAAAAAGGAGATGATCTTGAGGATTTAAAATCTTTTTGTCCTGGAAATAGTGTCGAGGATCATATTCTTGATTATTAAGAAAAGTTAACATCTTTATAATTTGAATTAAGGTAACAGTTATTTAAAAATTAATTATTACAAATGCCATCATCATTAATTTTATTTTTTTAAATTTAAAAGACCATTCTCTGACTAGAAAGATCTCTATAGAAATGTTTGGTTTGGATCAAATAATTTATGTCAGATACTACTAACTTCTTGAAGATGAAAAAAACAAAGTGTATTTTAAACTTTTCTCTTACTGGAAAGACATTAAAAGAATAACTAAGAAATATTCAGAAAAGTTAATTTAGTTGACAGAACTGTGAGAAGGTGATTTGCTTAAATGAGAGTTGGTGATTTCAGTATTAAGATCAAATAGAAGGTTTTGATTTTGAATTTTAGTGAAAAATCTATACGAAAATTTGTAAAACCCAATAATTGTAAACTCAAGATTTTTTGTAGATATGATATACAATATTAATTAAAAAAGGTGCGGAAGTTCTCTTTATAGAAATAATATATTCGGTATTTTTTATTAAATTTACGTATAAAAAGTTCAATTAAGGAATTGAGGACAATAAATTAAGGCGGTTCAACACGGATCTGCAGAGATCAGATAACACCAGAATCAGATACCTGGAAAGATCATGCATGGACCAATTCAACCCATATTTGCTATTTTACACACAGCCCAAGACACATACTGAATTTAATAAATAATTTAATGTGTCTATCGAGATTTATGTATGATATGACAATAGTGAAGGATTATCTCAATAACTAAATACAATGATAACAATATTAATTCATTAAGATATATTTTAATCTTCAAAGAAAACAAAAATTATATGAAACATTTATCATGTAAATATAGTATTGCGTTGATTAAAGAATAGAATTAGAAATATTTTTAATAAAATAAATATTTTTTCCATGTAATTTAAATACCTTTTGAAATCATTGATTGACGATATTTTTTCAGAAGGTACTTCTTTATTTTCGTTTTTTCCCCTTTCGTTTTCAAAACTTTCCAAACTGCTCTCGTAGTTAATAAAATTGAAACTATTTGACTATAGATTAACATAGTAATGTTATTGTTTACATAAATACGTAACTCACAAGAAAGAAAGTAAACTTATTTTAGTAAATAAACAAAACATTATTATACTCTACCAAATTAAGTTAAGAAAGTTTAAAATAATCTGAAAACCTTATTTAATTAAACGTCTGATGGGTGTATTACCCAAATTATATAATAATTTAAATAGTATCTTGTGAATAACAATAAATTGTAGTTTATTAGATTATGATTACTTGGAAAAGATACCTTCTACTCAGGGGTCGGTAAACTGTGGCTCTAGGAATTACATATGAAATGAAAATAAAACTATATATTGGCTCTTTCTACTAAAAACTATATATTTGTGGTTCTCAAATAATTTTCATATCATGGTGAGATTTGGCTATTTTTTCTTAAAAATTTCACTAAATATATTCTCTTGATGCAAGTATCCAAAAAAGTTCGAGGTCAATGGAAAAAAATATAAATAATATACATAATTGGAAAGACAATGTAATATACAACGAATCCAACGTAAAGTCGAACCAAAATTATACATTTTTTTAGTCCATACACCGTTCGTATTTTAATGAACATATCGTGATGATTAAGTATTCAATTAACAAAAAAAAGCGCATGTATGGTTAGTTTGAAAAGTAAAACAAAATGCGACAATCAGAGCGTATTTGTATAGTTAAAACATTCCAAATGATAATTAGAGCAAATGGGAAAATTATCTGGCATTTATGTGTATAATATAACACACAAGCTGCAGCAGCATGCGATATAATGGTTATTATAAGTTTGTGAAATCGCCAATAACATATTCCGAAGCTAATGCATTAAACATATCCATCACTAAATACGGCTATTAAAAACACAATTTTTCTCAACAAATAAAATATATCACACAGTTTGTAATTAACAAAAAAAACTTGTATAAATATGATTAATTCAATTTTCCGCAGATGAAAGTAAACCGCACAAGACTCGAGATTTCCTTTTTCCCAATCAACGAAACTCTGTGCGAAAGGATGTAGGATTGTTTTGATCTAAATATAGTAGATTCGAATTTCCGGTTGAAGTGTTATGGAATTAGCGAAAATTAGCATCTGATATTATACGTTTTTTTTGTTATTGTCTGTATTATTACCATTTTTTTGCAGAAAGCCTCAGGCTGTAGGTAACCTTGGCCGAAGATTCCAAGAGAAATCCGTGACTCCACTCAGCATCCTGCACAGATATTACACGTTAATTGTAAATATTTCTTCGGCAATTGCAGATTTATTCGATTTATTTGTATAATTAGTTACAAACAGTTATACATTTTGGGGCGGTGAAAATTCTGGAAGTCTTTAATAATTAGAAGATTATTATAATTAATCTTAGAAGACTAATTAATTTTGCTATCATATGCTTTAATTAATTCTAAAGTTTTGTAGGCATTTAGATATTTATGATAAAGAGAGTGAAAACGAAAATCGGTTAATTATATCTATTTGTTGAGGATTTAATCGTCGACTTCCTCCAATCTACTCTCACTTTTAATTAGGATACTTCGATGTTTGCTGGATTATGGAAAATTAATGGTATTTTCCTGTCTTTTCTTTCGCGAGAATACTAAATTAGTCTTATATAAACTTTCCAGAAAAATTAATCTAATTTGTAGATATTCATATATTATTTTCATATCTCTTACGTAACAATTTTATTATCTTTGCTCGACAGGTAAAATATTGGATTATCTGGAAAGTTTGTGCCAATTTTTCAATTTTCGTGAAAAATCTAAACTTTTATATATAGATATATAAATTTGTAATTATGTATGCACAATTTTTGATCTATAAATCTTTCTTCATGTTAAACAGGTTTTTCTTCAAATAAGCTTCTTTCGGTGGTTTCTTATGTCGACTAAAATGAATCTTTCTTGCAGTTAATTGACCCAAATTTGTGGAAATAGGAAAGTGCATTGTCTGGTAAATACTACTGGTGGACAAATATTATTCTGTCAGACTCCAACAATTTTTGTTGAGTAGTAATAGAAATATAAGGGCTGATATTATTCTCGTGATTTTTGTCCGTTAAATTGTGCAAAACTCATATATCTTAACGGTTTATATAAACAAGCTTTCAAAAACGTTTGTCGATAGTTGTTTTTGATATTTTTAATATTTCTCCTCATTTATTCTCGATCAATGTCTTGATTTCATCATTTTTACTAGTAGAACTTTAAGGCTGAAATTATCAGCTCTAAATTTAGATAATTATATTCCTAAAGTTAATTTAGCTAAAGCAACATCTCTGTAAGCAGAATATACCTTAGTTTTTGCTTTAGTTGCATTTTTATCTTTAATGTAATAGAAAAGTATTAAAGTCTGAAATGTACTTTGTTTTCTTTCATCTTCACGAGGGTACTAAATGTGTCAGTTTCATTTGATCGAAACCAAACTTTTTTTAACAAGTTAATTGTTTTTAACAATTCTAATAAATTTAGGCATCATCATCGACGGTACTTAGCGAAAATCGGTACAAACTTTTCAAGTTGCAATTTTATAAAGATTTGTATTATTAAGACCTTAGGTTGATTGACTGTGATAAAATAATTAACAAATTTTATTTGTTTCTATTTATTTATTTATTTATACATTTTTGTTAGCCCAAAGGGACGATGTATCTTTTTTATAATATTTTTTTTATCATTTATTTAATATCTCGTTATAAAGTTCTTAGATTGATTAACTGTTAACAAAATGAAAACTGCAAGGAAAATTTAAAAAAAAACTTAATTCTACATTCTATTTCTATTGGCCCAAAGATCCGAAGTTTTTCAATCCGGTTTTATAATTATTCAATTATTAATTGTTATTATTTATTACAATAGTTCCATACTTTTATCATTTTCTCGAGAATCGAAATAAAGTTCAAAGCAATATTTACAACTTTATAAAGGTGACTGTCTGTTGAAGAAACGATTGACAAATTGCAAGTAAAACCAGTCACAGTATCAAATAATAATGATGTAAACCGTGGACTCGCAATAAATTAAAAGTTGGACGCTCCGTTTAATTCGCATCGACACGCTTGATTTCTTCCATCAAGAAGGATATTTCTCGTTTGAAAGTAGTTGTTCCAGTTAAAGAACTTTTACAAGGCAAGAAAACACATGCGTACTGCTGCATTTCGCGGTAAATATTCATGAAGGATATGCGATTTAGGCATTCCCATCCGGTTCTCAACTAATGACAGACGGAAACTGGTCATTTAGAAATCAAGGTTTCATCCGAAAAATTATATACGACTTTCATGAACAATAAAAATACTGTTCATAATTGGAGAGGTCTTCGGTGAAGAAAAATTAAATAAATAAATCATTAACATGTTTTTCTCTAATTTATTGGAATTCCCGAGACGCACAAGTCAATTATAAATGTTCCACAAAACGATTGTTGATTTGTAATAGTAATAAACCTGATTATTCCATTTATGTATACAAAATTATATGGACGTAAAAAAATCGTAATAAAATAAAAGGAAAGTCTCGTTGCATAAAAGTATTTTAAAAATAAAATTTATCGTTACAACTGTAAATATGTTATATAATCCTATATTTTTTATTTATTAATTGATTTTAAACTTTTGGGTTTTAGTCGTTGGTAACAATGGTGAAACCATTTGTTTTTTTTTTTGGAAATATAGAACAAATTTTGCATTTTACAAGTTTAAGACCAACAATATTATTTAGAATTTAATTAATTTATATAATCATAAATGATTCCAAAGTCAGTAATAACTATATATCGGACGCACCAACTACATCGTACACGTGGCAACAAAGTATCCATAAGTCACAACTACGTCAATTTGAAAATAATTCATCATTTAAGTTATTAACATAAGTGACACACTTTAAATTTCAAATCATATATTCAATATTCGTATTAATAATAATATTAAGTTCTACAACTACAAGAAAAAA